GAAGCTGAATAGAAACTGAAATATAAAATCAAATCAAACTTGCCATTGTGCAGTTAAACATAACCTGCAACCTTGCCATATTTGTGCAGGTATATTGTAAAGAGCAAACCCAGTTTGGGGATTCATATGCTACAAACTGACCTGTCAACTTGCAGGTGAAAGATTTACAAACCGCAACACAAAACAACATTGACTGTTGAACTTGACTGAAAAATATGAGTGTAGCAATTGAGATCAATCATTCAAGAATTGGTTCACACCATAAATTTACACAAGGAATTTACATTCTGGAATCAAATGTTGATGATGTTCTGTTTAAAAGTATTTTACTTGCCATGTTTTAAAAATCTAGTGACTAAAACAGAAAAATATAATGAAGTGTGCATGTGGTATGGGCAGATGGTATGTTATCATGTTCATGTACCATTGCTATTAAGACTTTCAAAGAAATATTAATGAAATAGTTGACCGTACTTGTACAGTTCATACCGACAGTTCACCAAGGTGATCAATTAACGTTCAGATCTAATGTTGGAAAACAATGTGTTGCCATGTTACTATATTCTATTGTTTATAATGAAATTAAATCAGTTAATATTTGGGACACATCCACCATAGGCGTCGAAAGATAGCTAAGTGGGGGGACCAAATTCATATATTTGTGTTCACAGACCTTGAAAACAATCGATTTCAAAAGAAATTAATAATGCAGAACATGAATATATGAATATGGTCCCCCTCACTTATCGATCTTTCAATGCCTATGACATCCCCTATGAACCAGATTTTAGTTTATGGCAACAATTTATATATTGTACATGCAAGCGAGGTTCACCTCACATTCACATGCTAATATGGCTTGCGAGTAGTGAAACATACTGTAGCATATTGTTTTGGCCTTTGGGAACTAACTGCAGAACTAATACAGAACTAATGACTTTTGACTAAAAAGAAACAATATGGTATGTTACAATACGGCTGAAGTGGAGAACAAGCCATGGAATATAATATATTTCCAGTATAGTAATATTACTTTTTTAAATATTGTAGATGGAACAAAAACTCAAAATAATAATCGGTAAAACTAACCATCTCTACCACCATTTAATTCCACCTGGCGAATCATGCTAGACTGTTTACTGTATACTCTACATCATGTGAAGATGTTACTGGTTGAAAGAATATTTTACCTGTCTCATTTGTAAATAAGGAAAAGTCTGACCTTTAAATTTATACAACTGGATGATATGCTGCATGAGAATTTCTAATGGTTGGTCAACTGATAATGTATCAAGTGGTGTCTACTATTGGATAATGTTGAAAAGTAAATATTAGAAAATAAAACTGTATGAATAAATAAGATTTCTATTTGTCAGTGACCAATTACATATTCCAGATCAGGAGCAAGAGCTGTATAGAATGAGAAAGAATCTTATGCACCTTTAATGGTGTGCATACAGTATATCAGGATGCTTTTCAATTAATAACAGAAGATGTATTCATCACAATTTTGGACACATGAGCTAACACCTGCTATCCTTGAATGAACGGTGAATGTACTATATCCCCAGTGGAAAAAATAAATGACTTTGTTACTCATGTTACATGTAATACCTTCTTAATATTAAAATATCGAACTTTTGAGGTAATGCCAATGCTAAGACTATTTAAGCTACTATTTTTTTAAAATTATAAGTATAATATTTTTATTATCAAGATAAATTGGCTGGTCGAGACCTTGAACTGTTGTAGTCTAGTTATTGTCATATCTTATACTAAACTAGGTTGAACTTTAATTTACCGATGTACAAGGTATTCTGTCCCAGGGGTGAATTGGAGGGGCAGGGCTTTCTATTTTTGATGATTGCATAATCTCTTAAATCATGTTTGAAAGTTTTTTGAAATTATGGTGGCGCCTCGTGAAAACCTGCACCCTATTAAAGTGTATCAATAATTAGCGATAATTTCAGTGATTTCTCTTTGGTTGGCATATAATCCACTAACGCCGTACGCAAATGTATGTACGCTTAGCATACCTATTTTTATTCCAAAGGCTAACCACATGTACGCAATGCGTACCTATTTTTTAATTATGGTTTAGAATTTACAAATGCTTTGTCATTTGTATTTATACTTGTACTGCATCACAAGGCAGTACGTAAGTGAAAAAATTCCACATGTGAAATTGTCTTGTATACATTTTTGCTTTCTTTGATATAAAACATTATTAAACACGCAAATTTTAATTAGTGAGACGCAGTGTTAAATGTCACCTGCATGTCATTGTCATTGCCCTTTAACCCCTGGTCTAATTGGCCGCTTTTGAAAATGTTGATCATTTAATTATGCAAACTTTGTGTTTTAAAGACGGGTTAGGATAAAACGCGGATACGGACGGACGGATGAATGATGGACGGATGGCGACGGACGGACTGGACGGATGACATATATATGTCATTATATAGTCTGCGCGCAGCCGCGCAGGGTAGTTAGTGGCTTACGTCTTCGCTGGTTGTTATACTTTAAAATAATTTTGTACCGATAAATATAATATATATAATTATATATACCGATATATATATATAATTTTATACCGATAAATCAATATTCCGAGTATATAAATATATAAACTGGGATGTCACACTGATAGCTTGTTTACATTTCCTGGAGCATCATGAAATCTTATGTTTAACCACGGTGGTTTAACCCATTAGCTGGCAATGCGCCCTTCCCTTGTCCAATGCCAGAAGATTTTACTCGTCAGTGGTATAGGGTACTGCCAGTAAATGGGTTAACAAACCTATCTGGCAATGGCTCTTGTTAATTCATCAACACAGTAATGGACCCTACTTTAGTATTTACCCTGTCCAACGCCAGACGATTTTTAATACTCAGTCAGTGGTAGGGTACTGTCCATAAATGAGTTAACAAGGATAACAATAATAGGATGTTTTTGAAGGACTCGTTCGACACCCTGTAGTTTGTCTTTTGCTGTCAAAGGCAGCATTACTGCCCTGTGGGTAACCTAGTTTAAGTTATAAATCAGATTGATTATATATACTAATATCAGAGAATCAGGTTCTTATAGCCATATATATTAAAATTTATCTGCAGTGGTAAGGGCAATTGCTTAATTAAGGTCACGGACGTTAAGTAAATCCCCAGAAGCCCGTGCAACTGCTGTCTGTTGACCCCATAACCGTGTTGGTCGTGGCTTGCTAACGTTCGTTATATATCTTTTGTTGTAATTATGAAATTGTTTGTTATAGTTGATTTGAAATGGGTATGTAGTCAATGTAATGGTTTACACAATTATATACATGTATAAACATGCGTGCAATGATGTTGTTTGTTGTCTTCGATTTTCTAATGCCTTCCAATTGGACACTAAAGGGCCTCTGTGATTGAAGAAAAGTATACTCCCGCGTTTAAGAATTAATTTTCCTTTGCTGCTTTGCTATAATTATGTAGAACTTGCATGCAGGGAATACATGAAGGTCAAGTTATTGCAGTCTTCCCACACAATGTCACAATAGTCAATATTCAGTAAGCATTGAAGAACAACTTCCTGCAGGTTTCAAGTGGACGAAAACATTTACTTCTCCTGAACAAGTTTAACTTTAAAAGTACTTTCTTACAAATAGTGTTAACCTATTCTTCCCAATGTTAACCTGCATGCTCTTCACCGATAATCACCTCGCCTTCGGCGAATAATTGTTAAATATTATAGATAGGACATGCTCGCTGTGTTTAAAAGAGAAAACGACAGGGTTGATACGATTTCTGAATTATAAATTATGAATGTAAAATATTCAGCGTGCACGAAAATATTTGCTCTCTTACGTACCATAACGTATTTTGGGATTGAAGGTCGTAACTCCAGAGAATTCTCCGGCGATTGAGAGTTGAGGTGAACTTGCAATATGTAAAACGCAATGCTTCCGGACACATCCACCGATGTGTTCCATTTTAAGGTGATAAAGTTGTATCCAGATCCAGACAGCAATGGTGAGCTAGTGGCTGCAACAAAATTCTGAGTTCTGGAGTAAACTGAAGAAAAGGAATCTGTTATCAAACTTATATATTATGCCGCACTCATTCTTCTTGGTGATTACAGGGATCAGGGTTTTTCCTCTGTCTGATTTTTTGTTGTCTACATAGGTATGCAAGATAACTTTAGAAAGCTATAATTAATATCTTATATTGCAATAGACAGACCATAGGGTAAATAGGATTTTAGTTGAATCGCGAGGAGAAACTTCTGTCCAAAATGTTTATTAAATTGGTCTTCTGTGTAGAGTGGAACAATTGAATAATTGTCCATAGCTAAGTATCAATTGCAGAAGTCTAGTTCTGGAAATTCTAAGATAGAATTAAGTTTAATTAAATAGTAATTATATGATCTTCATCAAATATGATTCTCTACTGTTATTCATTCATGAAAAAAACACAAACGCATTTTACAAACAAAGTACAGATATTATATGCTTCCGCTAAATACCTGTATCGTTCCCGAAGCTGGATAGCACGCTTTTGCAACTGATATTGCAAAAGTTTCTTTCTTCATTGAGCGTGTTTGTATTGTTAGAGCACGGTTTATCATCACCTATCTTAAAAATAGGAAGATATATAGTGCTTTTATATAAGTTTGTAATCGGTTGAAACAAATATTTTATGTTTAATTGCTTTCTTTTTGTGCAAAGGATCTTTTTATTCATTTTTCTAAGATTAAGGTTTCAATCAATCAACCAATTAATTAGTTAATTAATTATTTAAGTGCTAAATAATCAATCAGTCAACCAAGCTTTATCAAATAGAAATGCACAATTGAACAAGGTGTCGTTTTACAAAATTCCTCATCCAATGAGGATAATTTACAGTGGAAATTGAATCATAACCAATTTTAAGCACTATATCTTTATTTGAATAATATGATCATCATTGCAAATGAAAGGCACATGTTTGTATCGATGGTGATGCATAGAGCTAATTCCACCTAAACCAGTAATTAGGTCGCGAGGTCGTTACAGTTCTGTGATTTCAGAACGAAAGGGGACGAAAAATGTATTAAGCAATAAATAGCTTCCGTTAGGTTTGAAGACTAAACTTAAACACAGAAAACCGAAATTTTTTAACACCTATATATGAAATATTGTTTAATTTATTTCAATGTATTGTAGGTCGTTGTACATAATCTGTATCGGATTGGAATGAATACTATATATATACTTTAAAATTAAACGTTGTGCATAGGCTACGGTATTATCATTCTCCCTTTCCAAATTCCAATCCTCTAGACATTCAATTAAATATTTGTAAGTCAATACGTGCTTGGCGCATGTGTGTCCATGCATTATTTCTCATCATGCCGGGTTGGCAATGAGTAAACCACCGAATACCGAAGATATTTATTGTTTGAAACAACACGACATATGTTTTGCTGAAGATGTCTTTCTGTTTATTAAAACCAGCAAACAAATTCTAGAAGTGGATTTATTTTAAAGGTAATGGCAACGAAATTCTGTCCAAACAATTAAGCTCTTAAATTTGTAAAATTTAATGATTTCATGTATAATTCTTTTTCATTTCTTTTCATCCTCGTGATAATTTAGTTCGCTATTTATGAATGTGGAATAAAATAAATCAATATTGACATCACAAACAGTTGGAAATTATTCGTTCAGAGTTGCAAAACAAGTTTTGGCAATTTGTGTCATGATCATCTGATATTCACATAATTATCAAGAAATCGCTTAGAAAGTAATGACAATGAAAGTCAAGATAGAAATAACTCGCTAAAATAGAAAGAACTCGGTTAACTAAAACATAATTTAAAACTTTTTGTTTTATTTTTTCGTTCATCAGATTTTTTAATTTGTTTGATATGTAATTAAATAAATATATGACGTCACAAGCTGTTAAAATTATTTCTAAGATGGCACCAGTGAACTCAGTCTATTTTCCTGGAACGATACCATTCAGTCATTTGGCAGTTAAAAAGTGAAGCCTCGCGTGAGCAGTGGCGTCAGCCCTCCACGCCATTTCCAAGCCATATAGTATACGTCTATCACGAATCAGCGCGCGTCAAGTGGCGTTGGCATTGGCTTCACGTTTCTTCCCGCATGTTATCATTCCAGATAAAAGACATGGAGTTCACTGGATGGCACTAATACCAAATCAAGGTTCGCTGTTCAGAATAGTATAAATCATTTCAGTCCATATGGTAATTCCAATAAATAATCAAGCGTTCAAAAGCATGAAATTTCATGGGTCCTATGGACTTTCAAAAAATTTAGCCTGCTTGTCATGAAAAATATTGAACATGACAAATACTGTATTTCTCAAAAAATTTCCAGTTTACTCTATTCAAAATATATCGAAAAATTTACCAGCATATCATGGAATTGTCTAGTTCAAATTTCGAACAGTTCAAACGTGTCCCAAGATGACCTCATGCTAGAATGTTTTGCTATATCTTAGAACCATTTGGCTCAATCGGCACATGATAAGCCACATTTGAACTAGGCGCCAACAAATTAACCTAGTATAGCTTAATATATGTATAATTTTATTTCAAAGAACGTGGGATAAGAATATTTTTCTTATATGCAAGTAGTTAGAAACGTTTGATAACAAACAACATGACTGATAGCAGGGGCGAAACTAGCCCCTTTTAATTAAGGGGGTGTCTGCTAGAATTGCCCTGCGAAAGCCGATGATGCTCTGCAGCAAAAAAATTTTTTGGTCACTATTTCTCCCAAAAATGTTGGCGAGTGGGAGGGGGGTCGAAAGAATTTTTTCCGGACATTCAAAAAAGGGGCGCAAAATTTTTGCGTACATAAACCAATTAAATTAAGGGTCAAAAATTTTTTTAGGACAAATTCCTGTTAAAACATGCATGAAACCCTTATTTTTTACAAATATCTGTAAAATTTAGGTCTATAAATTCTATTCAATTCCCTCTGGAAGCCCTGAAATCTACTTGATAATTCTACATTCTATCATTTAAAATCTTTCATTGCCCTGCCAATGCAGATGATTTGCCCTGCCAATCCAGATTATTTGTACTTTGGGGGGTGTCACCCCCCCCCCCCCCCCAAATTTTCCCCCCCC